TTCATTATTCATTATTATTGCATTCAGTTTGTCATTATCCCAAATTACCCAATCATCTTCATATTATAACCATTTGCAATAAAATGTATCTAACATATAAAATAATATCAGAGAACTATATAGATACTAGTATATACAAATAACTTATTCTGTAAATACCCAATTGATTATGCAACATAGCGAGTTCTCATGTCAATTGTCACAGGTTCATACAGGCAGGGGTTCTGTCACTCCACAAGACGGAGTGTCAATAGTTTGATGTTCAAATATCAAAGCCGCAACCTGTGCGTAGTTCCGTCTTCAAATACATGGATAACCAAGAACTTCAGTGTTCAACCCACGTTTACGTAGCCGACAGTTTCCCACTATGGTCTTGTTTTTTGACCTCTAATTAAAATTGACATTAACGTTTAGTGGCACAGGTGACTGGGTAAAATTTTCTCAAATGGTTTCATCATACCTTCATATATGTAGCAATTGACCCCTCGGGTCGCTGAAAAAAATTGTTATCGATAAAACCGTAAACTCCCCAAGCATTTTTAATACAAACAAATTAATAACATAAATTCAAATATGCTTAGTTGACTTATTATTAGTACACACAATGTACACACCTATACAAATTATCTTTTTAGATGCCTTCACCTGATATCACTTCATATAAAAATGATTGTTACTCGAAGTGCCATGTGCCATATTACAATATACACACTATTGTGCTTATTAACATGCTTATTAACATTAACAGTAGGTGTAAAACCGGGTTGAAGATATAAACTATACCTGCTCATTGACGTCGTGAGTAATAAGTGCGATGACATAGTGATAACATGACCACCGTAAAGACATTATATGGCATTTGTTCCACCAATGATTTAAATAAGGACACGTATGATAATAATATTATTTCATCTAATGCAGGCCTAATTTTTCTGGAATGAAAAACGTAACTTTTTGTAGATTGAAAAAAAGAAACAAAATTAGCAACGTCAAGTCAATGAAGTGAGTGAGAAACTTAATGTCTAACCAATTTGTTGTTGGGCATTTGAAAAAAAAATATTATTCAACCTTTTCAATCGACACAATAAACTTGTTGAATCAGGCATTGGACTCTTTAGATGGCCCTTACCTAATATTGTCCCTCTACACAAACGGCTCATAATTCAGAAAATAAAGAGGTATTTTGTTATTGACTATGTTTAGCAATATGTTAACTTCCATCTCATAATCAGGTTTTTGTCACGGATACTTTATTAATGACAGTGTTTTCTTCTGCAATCGATCGAAAAAGTGAGAGAACCTTTATGGTGCGTTCATTTATTTTTCGAAAACACTGGCGCATCAAAAGGAGGGATGTAGAGTGGACGAGGAGTTCGGATTTTGTTTCCATACTTCAGGAAGATGTTTTCAATATTGGTGTAAACGGTAGAATATACCCACCAATAGATATCTATGCTACAACATGCTTTACAACATTATAATGTTGAGTGTCAAGATTAAACTATCATTGGTTTGTATGTAATATAATAGGTTTAGTTATACCTCACAGCAAAAAATAAATTTCTAAACTCACTGCTTGCGCTGACGACGTGGAATTTTTCATAACTCGCAAGCATGATTTCAATTTACTGAGTCGCTGGTTACATTTCTACGAGCTTTCATCAAAATCTAAAATCAATCTCCAAAAATCGGAAGGGTTATTGGTAGGTAGCTGGCGCAACATCACCTACTCTCCTCTCAATATCAAATGGAACAGCGTGGGGTTGAAACTGTTGGGTGTTTATTTGGGGAATAGTCTAACTTATACTAATCAGAACTGGGCTGAACTTGTTGCAAAAGTAAATAATAAGATCAACTTCTGGACTCACTTTGTTCACAGCATATCTTACAAACCGCGCGCTCTTAATACTAATAATCTGGTCTCATCGCAGTTAGTGTACCGCTTTAATAGCCTTGTGCCGCCATCGGACGTAGTTCCGAAGGTACATAAAATGCTGCTCGATTTCTTTTGTCAAAGCTGACATTAGGTATCTGCCGCAACACTGTACCTCCCCTTGGAAAGAGGTGGACAAAATGTTACACATCTTCCAACACGCATAAGTACCATGCAACTTTCCTATATTCAGAGATATCTATATAACAATTACCCCTGTTTTAAGTTTACAGACTTCTTTTTTATGCAAGCAAGTAATATATCATATCACTATCGAAGTACCTTTACACAGACTGCCATTATTTTATTGTGAACTCCTCCAGTGTTGGGAATCTGTAGATAAAGTGCGTAAATTCAATGATAATAAAGTAATTGATATTCTTAATGAACCACTGTTCAATAACCCACTCATCACACACCCCATAGGAAATGAGCCTTTTGTATGTGATTTGGTTCCAGAAACGAGTAAAACTTGGTTGGAGGCCGCTGATATGTCGGATAAAATTAAAATTCATTCTTAGCGTATTCTCAATCTCAGTATCAATGTTATTCACGATTCTATTCCTACTCAATGGAACAATACGATCAACAATTACTTCAAAGGGAACGGGGAGTGTAGTCAACCTTTTTCAAATCATAGCTTCGAACTGCACTTTTCTGATGAACTAAATTTGCACTATATAAGTTTCAAAAGGGCGCAATCTATAAATATATAATACGTGTCCTTTCAATCCCACAACACTCACAAAAAACTTGAAACTGTTTGGCGTGACATCCTTAGTCTTCCTTAAAATGCTAAACCCAACTTCAAGGATTGCTATGAAACACCAGTCATTAACAAACATGGGGATCTGCAGTGGCGTATTGCCCATGGTGCCTTTCCAACAGGGAGATTTATTTTCAAAGCTCGTTTGAACAGTTCAGATAAGTGTCCGTTTTGTGACGAAGTCGACACACTTTATCTTGCAGCAGCAGCAGTATCACCTTGGTAGCTGGTAGCTGTAGGTGTGTCATGGCTCTAGTTACCCCCTGTCCAGGTCCAGGATGTTGGTGGAGCTCATTGATGTTTGTGTTGATGGTTGTGGGTACAGGGGAGGGTACTGGCTGCTCATGTAATGAGAGTTTTGGGAGCCCCAGACACTGGTGGGCTGTGATGGTGGAGGCTGCCACTGGTAACTCTGGGGCATTTTTGGGGGGTACTGCCTGCTGGTGGAACTTGGTAGGTACGGCTGAAGTTGTGGCTGGATTGGAGGGATTGGAGCAACCTGTCGCTGCTACTGGCGCTCTTCAGTCTGCCTCTGTCCCTCGTGTAGCACTGCCATGAGCTTGATCTTTGTTGCCCTTTTTATGTCCCTAAGAAGCTGTGCCAGACCCTCATCTATAAGTCTGGCAAAGGTGGGGGACCACCTGTTTTGCCAAACATAAACTCCATCAGACTTCGCTTAAAGTCAACACTGAATGGCTGCTCTGAATCTGGAACCAGCATGGCTTCATCTTCTGCCGGCGGTGGTGTTGGAGACCTCGGCCTTTCCGCCACCTGGCCTCTGCCTGTCCGTCTCTGGCTCATCGAATTTTTCGAATATATACCACGAAAAAAGACGATAAATTCGGAGGATTCAACAGAGCCCAGAAACGTATGTATTTGCTGATTAGTTATACATTAAGAGGTAACACTTACTCAAATAATTGGATCAACTTATTGTCAACATCGCTTCCAAAAGAGGTTATCAAATGGCGAGTTTGACAACTGCCACGCCGATGCGAACTGATATATGCAATGTGTTTCAAGACAATAATAAATCATAATGTATTATTGTAATGTGGTCCTTTTTAATTAAATATGTGGAATATGCAGTACATTCCTGCAGCCAAGACTTTTGCACTGTGTTCAGCAGATGTACACCCCCCCCGTCAGCCCTCACAGCGCCGCAAAGCAATATGGGAGTTGTGTAAAAAAGTAATAAATCACTGCATGGCACACGTGTAAGTATGCTCAATACACAGTCAGCCGGCGCACAAGTGATAATATATAAATGCGATATTTACTATATGGGGGATTGGATTAGATCTGGTGCATATCCTATCTTCAGACACATAGGTCACATGACCAGGCCGTCATCTTGGATTAAAGGCGAAATTTTCAATGCCGAATTGCGCACCTTTCTGAGGATCTGAGTGCTCCAAATTGTTTATGGTGGTAGCAGTGGGACAAGGGCTGCAAATTTCATCAAAACAAACTTTAGCGGTCACGTGACTTTTTTCTAGAATTTTTAAAAATTTTGTTTTGCATCTCATTTGCATAATTTTCGACTAATCAACTAACCCTGCATAACTTGAAAGATCATATGACATAATATTTAATTCCAAAATATAAAGTCCAGGCAATGAGCCGTTTTTTAGAAGAAGATGTGACTAACAAGTCAGATGACCATATATGGTCATGTGACATCATTAAATATGGAAAATTGTAATATCTCAAGCAGTGTTACAGATAGAGACATGCAACCTGTGCAATATTGAAGCTATGGGACGAGAGATGTGACTAACTTATGTGATAAGCATATATGGTCATTTGACCGCATTAAATATGCATAATTGTAATACCTCAAGCACTATTACAGATAGGAACTTGCAACCTCTGCATTATTCAAGCTATAGGACAAGAAATGTGACTAACAAATCAGATGACCATTAACGATCATGTGACCTCATCAATATGCATGACGTTAATATCTCTATTACTGCTACAGATACGGACATGCAGCCAATGAGCTTATGTTTATTTATTTATTTATTTATTTATTTATTTATTTATTTATTTATTTATTTATTTATTTATTTATTTATTTATTTATTTATTTATTTATTTATTTATTTATTTATTTGTATGGTGTATGGTCGTCCTAACCAATCACCTTAATAACTGTCCGCCTTTTAGAACCACACCCAAAATAGCATATTTATATATGCAAATATAAAAAAGTTGATGTGTTTGTAAACCCTCACTATTCTCTTGTTTTAAAATAGCAGTCTCGCTTAAGCTCTTCATAGTGACGGATTGTGCATAGATAACCTGTACTGACAAGTGAGTATTGAATTGTATTTTAGAAACACCATGTTTGTATAGTAGATCCTGATTTTTGTATTTAAAGATTTGGATAACACACAATAATAGACAGCTCAAAGTCTTTTATTTCAAATACTATACCCCAAATGTTAACAAATTGAATACACATTAAGTCATGGAGGGCGTCTCAAACGATTTGCACAAATTTGGAGAACAATTTGACATGGATGAACCACCGAACTCAATCACTGGGAATATGATTTCAAATAGAATGTTTATTTTTCAAAATACGATGCCTTTTTAAATTGAGCTCCAGGTGTGTGAAATAAGTTTTTATAGTTGCACAAATTGGAAGATTGTTATCATATTATTTTAGGTGTTCATAAACCAAAATAGGGAGCATTCGATAAATATGTTTTCGATAAGAATGTTTTACCAAAATTTAGTTTTACATAGATTTAAAATTGCATCCACTGTACCATTGTGCAAATCCATTACTCGTACACTCGATTGGGTAAATGGACACAAAAGCATAATGTATATATACATCAACTTGCCATACGGCGAGAAACATATTGTATGTCTAATTAACATATGTTTGTGGTAATACAAAATACGGCCACCTTCTTAAATGTACACGCTTACCAAAAATTAGTAGGAAGATTCATTATTTGATAAATTACAAGGGTTTCTAAATTAGCCCCCCCAAAAAGAATCACAAAATTATAATAGGATTGCTTTGATATGAACAAACCTTGCTCTCTCCAGCCTGATGTTAAATATAAATATCTGATGACACTCTTTCTTAAAAACTGTGAAATGTAGATGATTTTGCATGGCTCTGTTTTCACTGTTTTTTCAAGATTAATTATTTTACATATAAATTAATGAGACATAGTTTTAAACTTCAATTAATAAAAAATAAATTTAACTATTCCCAAAAATGGCATGATGAACAATACTGTTAAGGCAATCCTCCCCCCAGTGAGCAATAGTTTTCTAACCCATGTTGACGGTCTTTTTGAAGTTAGCAAAATCTCTCATGTTATTTTACCACAGATGATACAAAATCGAGGCATTATTTCATTTACTGGAATATAGTGGTCTACTAACATTGCACCTGTGGTAAAAACATTCACCATGATCCTGTACGCTAGCATAGTGGTTAGAACCTATACATATCTAGTAAGCCTTCTCATCAGCTATTAAAGACTAACACTTTTCTGTACACAGGGTACATGAACGTGTGTACCACTGATATATTTCCTATCATAAAACGGATTTCCAAAAACAATGGGGGCAGCTGAATCAAAGGATGACGTGGTCGAAGAGATTCTCAATAAAGACTCGTTGACAACCGCCGAAGACAAAGAACTGACAAAGTACGAATTTCCGTTCGAAAATCTGATCTTAGAAGGAGGTGGTGTTAAAGGAGTGGCCTATGCTGGAGTGATAAAGGTAAACAAATAAACAATGAATTTAGATTACACATCTTTTTGCACGAATCTACATCTTTCACATTTTGTGTATTTTCACCACAATTTACATGTTGGGTAGTCTATATATATACGTAAGATGGATAAAATAAAAATAGTATAGATCTAATAACAGTTAATCGTTGCCCCATATCACATTATGGTACAATATACAATTGGGATACAATATACACCATTTAAAAAGTAAAACATTATTATGTTATTATTACTGTTACTTTATTTCTGCTTTATGCCTTAAAGATTTTGACCGATGTCGGAATCTACCAAAACATAAAACGCTTTGGTGGTGGTAGTATCGGGTCTATGTTTGCCTGCATGTTAGTGGTAGGCTACCCACCAAACGAGGTCATGCTGATGATGGACCGTGAGCTCAAGGATATTGCTGAAGGTATGTACACTAAAAGCTATTTTTTAGCAGTATACGAAATGTATGCGTTATATAACCAACACAATATCTATACAAAGGTGATGGATAGTGAGTGAATGTACTAGTATTCTTCGACATGACTTGTTGGCGGGCGTGAAAGGTTTATATACTTCCCCCATCCTCAGTTTACTTTTCACAAATTGCGGATCAACAGCTTCCAGGTCGCATTTCAACATCGCGGTAATTCACTTCCGCATTGCGTTGAAAAAAATACTTCGTCAATAATCGGAAAACTTCGTCTGTACGACACAGTATTTTGATTGGTTAACGAAAGACATGACCTGTTAGGTCAAAGGAAGTTGTTCAGGTCAAATCATGATGAAAACACCATGGCGGAAATAGCTTTGTATCGAGAGTTTCCGTACGATCGAAAACATTCAACAACGAAGATAATGATAAAGATCTTGCCTTCGACCGTTTTCCTACAGACCCTACCCATTTTTGCACCGCAAATTCAAACGGTATGTAAAACCGTATTGTAATAAAATATGTGTATTTTTATGGACATGTTTATTTCTTCATTGTGAAAGTGGAAATCAGTGACGTATTTTTTCCTCAAAAAGACGTAGGATAATATTTCTCCGAGACCGGCGCTGTGAACAAAAAGTGCAATTTGGTAATTCTTCGAGGTTGGGAAGATGGTTACAATTTTAAACCCACCAACAAATTATCTTTTCTGAGGTGGTCCTCGAGTATAAGCCCATTTTCGGGCCCCTGGGCTTATACTCGGGGAAGTACGGTATATAACAATGTGTATACGATGTAGGTAATTGTTCAAAATTATTATCTAATATATATGCTAACTCTAAACATAAACCACTGAATACCAGTACATTAACGTTCAGTTACTAATATTAATTAATATTCATTAATATTCAGTTACTGAATATAAAAGAGAGTATATATTTTATATAATTGAGTAACAAATATGTACACTAATCAACTAAGTACTAACATATTGATACTTGAGAATTCACCCAAAAAATGTGTACAATATAAATTTAATAATATAACAGTAGATATACGCTCAACTAAACGTACTGATGCTTATGAAAAATAACTCAGAGAATAAACTGTTCCTTTTCTGAACTAGGCACTTACTAAAAGGTGTATTTGTCTGAAAACGGTTTGTTTCGGTTTGTTTTGGGTTTATTTGGTTTAAATATAATATCTTGTATAATATTCGCGTTTACTGACAAGCCAGTCTAGTGTTAATACGGCTTTGTAACAAACCATTTGATGTTGATTTATGTGTTTCAAGAACCGCCTAGTGTTTGAAATTACCAAACACGGAGTAGGAACCTGTTAATTTTCACTTTGATAGATGTTCCCTATGCCGAGTGGTGCAAGTGTTTTATTATGGAAATACCCCAAATGAGTCAATTTTGTACCTTGCCATCATGGAAATGTGTATAGGTGTACTACACCAACTCTTTAATGGTAATAAACTGGGATAAGACGACTTAATAGTAGATTCTTTTTAAGAATCAGTGCAAAGAAATTCCGATGTGAACGTATGACTCAATCACCATTGACGTATATGCAGGCTAATGAGTGGAATTATATGCTGTGAATTTCGTTCATTAAATGATTGATTTGCATAAATGCCATTTTGCAACAGCAAATATTTCTGTAGGCCATTGTATATTTGATTGGATTATAGACAACGCAATATGCTACAATTGGAGAACAATGTCTTTTCACCAACAAACCCGTTTTGTTATACACATTTAAGTGTATGTCCCGTACATGTAACAGTGCAAGGACATTACATAAAATATTCTAATCTTCAAACAAAGACACGAGAAGCTAATTTGAGATAAATAAAATACAAATATATCACCGTATCGCATAAAATGTATACTTTCAGACCACTCATGTGGAATATTCAGTTTCCTGCCTAATCTAATTACAAAATACGGGTGGAATCCTGGATCCAAATTGTATAAATGGTTTGGCAAAAAACTTGAAGACAAGACTGGGAATAAAGATATCACATTTAAAGAGGTATGTATTGGCACGTGGATGACATATATTATATAATGGAGTTATAGTGATCTTTTAAAATTATAGTGTACTTGAGAAGAAACATAAAAACTAGAAACCTGAAAAACTCGCCAATACCATTATCGTGTCATGTTAAATGGGCTCAAGGACATAACAAATAACTCAATTGACAAAAGATACGATAGTTCAAATATTTATATTTATATTGACATCGTGAATACACAGAAAAGCAATAGCATTAATTTTATACGATTAGCACTGAAATAATATTAGTATATATATGACAATGTTGTTATATTTGAACAGCGACAACAAGAGAAAACGAAAGTTGTAATTGTGGGTTCCGATTTTGAAGACAATTTCTGGAAAAAAAATTGCTCGAGCAGATTCACATTCATACATTTTATTTCCCCCAAAAATAAATAAAAATGCCTGAGTTTCATCGCCATGTCCGTTTACTTGCAGCTGTACAATTATACTGGCAAAGAGCTTTGTATAACTGTGACCAACGTCAGTCGTCGAACTACTGAGTACTGTCACATGAAGACTACACCCAATATGGCGGTACGAATGGCTGTTAGAATGTCCATGTCTATTCCTGGTAATTTACATAAATTATTTGTTTATTATATACTAAATTTCAAATTAATTAACAATTTAACCCAAGTCACAATATTACATCTTGTAAAAACATGTTTTCCCAGTCGTGTTACAACCTTGGTATTTCGTTCTCGATTTCTCACACGCCCGTTTGAGATAATATAATCCTATTTTCTCATATGCCAGATCATTCGTCAATTACATTCAACTGCACTGCTACCAAACATTTTATATAATAAATTAAAAATGAAAACTATGAAAAAGGCAATGACACGAAAAAGTGCATTGGAGATTGATTGCAAGAAAACGATTAGTGTTCATAGTGAAGTTAGAGTTGCAATTAATATTCATGAGCTTAAATCACATGACCAAGTTAGTAGAACACGGTGCATGCAGGATCGAAGTCACCAATATCATGATCGACCATCAACTAACATACTGTTCAAACCATCACGATTCACATGGATTAGTTTGACATCAATAAATCATAATTTGAATAGCGCCGAGCACAGTGATTTAACGTGTGATATTTCGGTGTTTGGGATTTTTCAATTGATTAATTAAACTGACAATAATTTCACTTTAACATACCATTAAAATGTTTTTTTTTTAAATAGTTTTAAGTGTAACTGAGAATGAATAATTAAACTTTGTTATGCATTTTTTTTTATTGCTGGCTAATAATGCCAACATATTACGTAATCTTGTATTAAAGTATTAAATGAAAGTGTTTGAAATATGTATTGTAATTTTCTTTTCTATATACTGCAGTGACTGCTTTACTTAAAACAATAATTGCCTATTGCAATGAAATACAACCTAGTCAGTGACACATATTTTCCATATACATTTATTTAATATTGCACTGTAGACCTTCGTCTGAATGATACACTAAAATGAAAAATCGAATACGAGTACGTATGATAAACTCAGAATTCGTCTCATATGCTATCACATCTGCTATGTTTTTCTTTTGTTATTCTGTAGGGTTCTACGAAGCTGTTCAATATAAAAATGGTGAAAATGTTGACGTCTATGTTGATAGCTTCGTGTTGCTGAATTACCCATTGCACTGCTTTGATGGTACGCATTATGGACATGTGTTTTGCATGATTCTGTCTATATGAATACAAACTTGTAAATAATAAATAAAGATAAGTACAAAAATATATCGAATGACAATTATAATATTTGTTTTTTTCTTTGGACAAATCGCTTCAAAAACACATTTGAATTGTTCACTATGTTACATTAACATTGTAAATTTTTGTATATAATCTAATATTCAATTAGAAAACTATAACTACCAGCCTGGTTCTATGTATATTAATTTAAAAATATAAAAAACTCATCACCACAGTTAAGCTACAGATTGAAAACAAAACATTCGATTAAAATATGACGAACTGGATGACAATATTTGTATCAAACAGGTGTATAATATATCACATTAACACGATCTTACTATACAATATACAACTATACTGAGTATGGCACCTGAAATCACAATTTAATAAAATAAAATAGTGTTTTAGAAATAAAATGTTTAATTTTTCATCATTTAATGATCTAGGTTGGTGGCTGTCTACAAAACCCGAAGACAGTTTTCTAATTAAACTGCAACCCTTGAATCAAATGAGCAAGCTGTGGTCAAGCAGATTTGGTGAATTCAACAACAAAACTTTGGGAGTAATAATGGTAAGCTGAATTGGGCAAATACATATCAGTGGTTTGTTAGATTATACAGTGTATATTGTTTTGTGAAGTTATTAAATAAACAAATACTGGTTTAATTCATAAACAAAACCAAACTAACTACTAGTATTATTATATTTTTATAGCAATCGGACACGGAACGTAAATTATATGAGGATTTTGTTTTCCGAGATGGAGAAGCTGATGCCCAGCCGGTTGAAAGACCAGATACTCCACTTGCTAGGTGAGTATGAATTGTTTGTGCAGATTACTAAATATTAATATAACATGGGTTTCTAAGTCGGTGTTTGTATGTTCTTGGATTTTTTTAGAACGGTAACACGGTACTTTTAGAATAGTTAACTTAATACTTTCACCAACAATTACAATTGTTATGTTAACACAGTGAAATTAAAATAACAGTTATTGATATATCTCATAAACTCTAAAACAAAAGCATTAACATATATATTACACAAAAATTAAATGAAACGATAAATTAGAGCACTGACAATGGAATTACCATCCCAGACTATTACTGTAATGTTTAATATTAGATAAATACTTAACGTAACGCATGAAAATGTATTTGTTTGTTTTTTCTTTAAATTGTCCGAATTTGGATTTTCATCACATATATTTTGTACTTGTCCTTGTGTTTACCCCACCTACGCCAAAACGCCACCTTGATAAAATATAAACCCACCCAAGGCGTTGTAATGAGTGTGATCTATATCCCCTGGGACTATATCCAAAGTTATTGTATTACACATATTACACATACATGTACATTAGATAATCTGTTAATGTTAACCGATATTTGTGTTTAATACTCAAAGAGGTAGTGCAGAAGTAGAGCAAAAGAAAAAGGCATTGGACGAGTATCATGACAAGTTGTTTGCAGCATTCTCTGAGTTTTTGAAAGTTCTGTCTGATAGTAATCTGGACAAAAACTCCGTTATTGACAGAAACGAGTTAAGCAAGGCATTAGAAATGGTAAATAGCCCTTTTGGTTTTTGATGATAACAACGTTTTTTTTTAAAAATTAAAATGTCTTCATTCTAACATAATTGTGCATATTATTTTTTTAAAGACTGACCAATCAACATTCACAACAGAACATGCAAGGACACTGTTTGGTGAGCAGTACGACTTGAGCACAATTTTTGATCTTCTTGATGCCAATGGCGATGGAAAGGTGTGAATTCAATTCAAATATTATCACAAATATCCATTTTAATTCATTTCATTTACTTTACCGTGTAGTCCTGGGGCTGATTTACTTTTAGGGCTGTTAATCAAAATTAGATGCATCCATTTTCAAACATATGTGTGTTGGTATTTATTTAGAAAAAACAAAACCTGACATTGTAGTTATTAAACAGGTGCTCAATATCACATATTGTCGTTTGGTGCATGTAGGAAATATTTTAAAACAACAACGTTTTGACAGGATATGTTGTAGATGTATGGAGAATACGCTAGTCTACACCAGAATTATATAAGTCTTGTATTTATTATGGCTATGTATTATGCGCTAGAAATATCGAATGAATTATGCGCTAGAAATATCGAATGAAATTAGATATTTAGAGAATGATATATTGTTTACTGATTGGTTGCCTAATGAGTATCGCTCAAATATATAATTGTAGATGGTTATTCTCTCGCATTCGAGCTACTGTGGCATATGGAGTTTGACCCGCCGCATTGAGTGTTATAAAATGTAGAACAATTGTAAAAGCTGGTGTTATTTCTTCAGTTGAACGGGGTTATTTTGTGTTAACTGCTGCTGTCCGTTCTTTGCCAAGATGCCAAGCGATAGCAATATTTACAGTCACGCGCATGTTATATGAAAACATCACTTTCTTTTAGATAAATTACTACGAGCTGATTACATTTGCTCAGAAGAGGGGAATTGATGTACAGAGTCGTTTTACTGGTTACGATCGAACAGAGATAACCGGCATCGGAGGGTTTTTAGGATCAATGATGGAGTCTATGACAATGAACTTACAACGGATTGGCTTTACTGTGAGTAACCACAGATATATATACGATATATCAAGACCTCGAAAACTTTTGTTCTCAGTCACTGGCCCTATAATATCTGATATATTAATAAGATCAATACTAATTAGTGTTTAAGGTTGTTGGATACACTTAAAATAAATACAGATTCTCTTGACTTTTGAATTGAATTAGTTTCTAGAATAAAAAGAGGCACCATATCTCAAAATATCTTTTGATGAAAAAATAGTATGTAGTTGTGAGATGATATTTATGGTTGCCAAATATTATTAGGCCATTCTGGTGATTACTGTTTATGTATAAATCGAAAATATTGTGACACTTTTGAAACAAAAAAATGTGGTAATTTCTTCGGCCCTAATTTTTGATCTAATTATCGCCATCTACTTTAACACAAAGATATGAATGTTTGAATAAATGTGAAAATGAAAGTTGATTAGTGTTCGTGGATGAATATAATGTGGTCTATCAATGCCTTTTTTCTTATTCCTAACCTGACTGAATAATTTCCCGGCTAGAATAGCAGTGTTATCATAACATACCAGCTGTTTATGCGTTTTCATTGTCACTGGTATGTTGGTTAAGAAAACCGCGGTCATAATATACTCCTTGACAGGCAAACTTAACTAACTTGAATTTTGACATCGAAAACGTATAATTCAAGGACTTCCTCCTGAAATATATTAATGTGCTCATATTTTTCGTTTTTTGGGATACATTGAAAGCCATTCAAACCTATTACTAGGATTATATATTAACAGAAAATACATGATACTGTTAAAAGTTAATAGTAGTAAGCTACTTTCTTCCTCGGTTTAAAATGAGTACACTAGTGTTTATATATTTGCATATATATTATTTGTGGATGATATGCACCGTAAGATTAAGTAAAATAACAAAATATATTAACCAAAATTGATTATGACTATGCTGTCGTACTGTTAATTTCAGGCAAATGATGTCGATCGTACTATTGGTGTTGATGTCGGTTATATTGGCAGTTTGGATATGGATTTGACTCCTGAAGATAATCTATATGCAGTTAAGGTATTATCTTCTTCCAGTATATCTGCAACACTCAAATGGAATAAAAGTAGTGTTTTCATTATCCTTACTTCTGAGTTTATGCTTTGCAGGGGCCAAGTCGCTCTACTGCCCCCATAATCATATACCAATATTATTAAATCATCTTTTTATGTTTCTCAACAGCAAGGTATGGTAGGAACACTCCGATATTTGAGATACTACGTGAAAAAATTTAACCCACCTGTAAAATAAGAGAGACATGGTGTCGAAAAACATGGTGTGATTATTGCACGAAAATTTAGGAATTTACTGTAATAATAAAAAGATCTACTGAATAATCGAATATAGATGTCCATTGCAGCGATGTGGACTAACATTAGTTTACATTTGTTTAGGGAGCCTATCTACAAACTCATAGTCGATATAAAGTAGCAATGATGAATAGAATAGAATAGAATAGAATAGAATAGAATAGAATAGAATAGAATAGAATAGAATAGAATAGAATAGAATAGAATTCATTAATTCCAGTCATATGACTTTATATAACCGGTATATATATATATGGCATATATATATATACTTGAGTACAAAAATGCCAAATAACAAAAGTTAGTAATATACACATATTTGAAATTATATTGAAGCCTTCAACTAAATTAACTTGATACTTGTAATTGTTGATTTTAGTTAGTATAAATATTTAGCAATAAAAATATGATCTAGTGCTGCACGTCATTACTTTTTGTTCACCACAGTTTAATAAATTGGTATTGTATATCACTTGTAACGTGTTTGGAAGCGTGCAGTCTCAGTTCTAGTCTCGGACGCCCGATTGCGCAGTGAGTTGCTCGTGGCAAGAGACTAGGGAAGCACAGTTTTACTTGTTGCAATTCAGGGGTTACCAGCAATGGTCAAATTATAATTATTACACTTCAGTTCTAATGCATAAAATACGTTTTCAAATTATTGCCGAGTGAATTCTAGCGTAAAACGACGAGCTAGTAGATTTGATATCGATTGAGTTCTTCTTCTTCATCTTGAGTTGTGGCACTCTACAGAGATCGGTTCGCGGTCCAAATACTCGTTGTCTTTTTGCGTACATATCAGATGAAAATTTCTGCTTACAATTTTTCCAAGGGGAATTTGGATTATAACACGATCTAAATTCTACTTTTAGCCTATAACCGTTCCTTTGCATTTATTGCTAAGCCCCTTTGTTAAGTACAACAGCAAATATTTTGTTTTTGTGTTTGTGAGCTCTTGCGCGATTGGTCAATGCTTGAGTTCTTCCAATACTGTGTTTTATTCGGGGATTCGTGAACAAAGGATTGTAAGAGAGTTACGATGAGCACTGGAAAACTTCCAATCATTTATTAAACACAACTAATTAATGTGTTTCGATTACAGTGAGAAATTTTCTATACAGATTGAGCACCGGGATCGAACGTACACAATTTACTATGATGCCGGAGATGGTTGGATGGTTGGATGAGAAGTCTTTTCAGTTTCTCGGATTATTTAAAAGGTTTAAAATGATACAAATTTTCATATGAAAACTGCACAAATAAATGAATATAAAATCCATTACAATCTTAACAATTTCGAATAACACTTTATAAAGGCTGCATCATAACATATAAAGCCGCTCTCTCGACTGCCTTTTCCGAATTTTAATATGTAATTATCTTAGGGTTATACCTCCGAAAGCGAAGTTTTTTATCTTCAATATAACGTAGCGGTTACACCTTACAAACAGTCTGATTCAACGTCGCTCAAGCAGCGTGGAATTTTTGTTTTGTTTTATTTTGGCCTATTTGAAAAAAAAACACGGTATCAATATTCAAAACTGTTTTGTTTGTCTGTGGCGTACTTCAGAATAATAGATTTTGGCCGGGCGTATTTCTATAAATGATCGGTGTATTCCGACCGAATGTACAGTATTACTGGAACCCAACCTCTCGCCCGCTTCCGCTTTCGATCGTTTTGTTTTTGCTCGCAAGCACTTGTTGAATTCGAGCGGACAATTTCCACTTTATTCTCAACCACAAACACACACACACGGGAATGTCGCCTGCTCGCTCGCATTGTAAATACTTTATCTGCTCTAGGGAGTTAGCATTGCTCCTTCAGCATGTTGAACAAGAGGTCATAGTTCAATTTGCGTTCACCGATACAAAGCTTCATAGATTGGAAATGTCGTTAGGATTTTAATATTTGTTCATATTCGTTGGGTCCTCAAACGTTACCATTAAATCAACAAATTCGGCCACTCATGTGCCGATGAACAGTGTTTGGTCAAGCGAGCAAGAAAAGAAAGCGATAACAATGTGGTCGTTTCCGGTCGGAAAAAGGACCGCTTGGCCGGGAATAAAGCGATAATCGGTCGATTAAAAAGCGATAATATTAATAGAGATAATTTTAATTTTATTGGCCTTACTCTCTAGCATTTCTTTATTTATTTCGGATTCCATCACAATCTGCATCTGTTGAAGCAGCAGTCTCACTAGTACTTAGTACTAAGATCTGGCAATATCTTCTATCTAAAAACATGATATAAGGTCTCCACGTTTTTATTAGAAGCACTTCAATACATAGTTTATTGCATGCAATACAGTAAACACACGTGTTTCTAATAGAGCAAATATAGTATTTAAAATACAACCGTTTAACAATGATAAATATTTCATTAAATAATGACCATATAGGATGATTTGCTATTTTGGTCATATATCAAAATTATAAAACCAGTTGCATGCACCTATCTGGAACAGTACTTAAGATATTAAGATATTATTGAGGTCACATAACCATATATAGTCAGCTGATTAGTCATATCACATTGTCAGATGCCTTCATTATAACACTGGGTACATATCAATATCTGCAGCAGTGCTTAGTACATTACAGTTATGCATATTAAAAAGGACATATAAAAGTATTTACAATAAGTAGATAATAAATGTGGATTTCAACCCTGAAGTAATCAGATCTGTGGATTATCCAATAGCACCTGTATACATAATTTCATTAATTAAATTTGATCAGTGAAACTCAAGTTATCTGTGGATCACCTACAAATAGGTTAATGTATGCAAATTTGGTAATTAGTAAGCAAAACATTTAACCCTGAAGTTAACATGTAGGTGGCTTTTCCTAAAGCATTTATAAACCATGTTTCATTAAAATCTGTTGAATGGTACATGAGGGAAAAGTGAACAACGATAAACTAATCAGGTCTGCGCAATATCCCACTCTGTATAAAGTTTCATTAAAATATGGTAACAAGTGAAAATACTTAATATTGGCTAATTGATATGTAAATTGGATCATTAATATAATAAGACTTCAACCATAAACAAATTATAGAATAGAATAGAAAATTGTACAGAAAACCTGAATAAATATTAAATATACATGTATATATTTTTTCTGGTGGGGACCAGAGAGGTAGTTCTAGCAGAACTACTCTAGTCCCTGGCCCCGAAACCATACTCAAGTATTAAAATGTACGTTGTTGTGAATAGTGATGCAAAAAACAAATTATATTGCTAAGTTAAAAATAAATAAATACATACATAATTAAGTAAATAAAGAGACTACAAACTCTCACTAATAATAATAATGAAGAAAACAAAAATAGACAATAATACATATATTGCAATAACGCAAGTATTTATACATTAGTTAAAAGATATTTTTTTAATGCCGTTTTGAACGTGTTTCGTAAAGTTAATGTTTTTAACGAAGTTGGGAGCTCATTCCAATGTTTTACAAAAGTAAATGTCAGACTTTTCTTAGTTGAACTTAGATTAATTGGTGGTGTGACAAGTTTCTCAGAGGTTACTGATCGTGTATGGTATGGATGTGATATTGATAAGGCATAATGATCCAGAGAGTGTGCATGGCGGCCATTTTTCAAATCGTATGCAAATAAACATGTATTGTACTTACATAATTCATACACATCAAGAATGCCAAGTTGCAGGAAAAGTAGTGTGGTACTTGCTCGGAAATGAGAGAAAGAAATTAATCTGACAAACGTTTTTTGTAATTTAAAAACTGGATCAATATATGTGCTAAAAATGTGTCCCCATATTTCTAAACAATAAGCAATGTGTGGGAGAATCAACGAGTTGTAAAGTAATATCATAACGGATTTTGGTAAATAATGCCTCAAGTATGAGATTATCCCAGTTGTTTTACTGATTTTTTTAACAATGTTATTGATATGGGGTCTCCAACAAAGTGTTGAGTCAAGTGTAACATCTAAATAAAAAGCTGACGACACCATTCTTAATGACAAATCATCAATTGATAATACGCCCTCAATAGCTGTTTTTCTTTGAGCTGTCTGAAAAATCGTGACATTTGTTTTGTCAATGTTTATACTTAATTTATTTGATTTGCACCAGGTAGCAACTTTATTTAATTCAATATTGAGTGTGTAAAGGTTTACAGAACGGTCTTTTACTGAAAAAATGAAAAAAAGGAGGGGTGATCTAGAAATGTCATTAATATAAACTAAAAAAAGAAGAGGGCCTACGATTGACCCCTGTGGTACGCCTTTTGAAATAATTTCACAGTCAGAATCATTGTTTTTTAAACCAGTTCAAAGTTGACCCTCTAATCCCATATTGTTGTAGCTCAGTTAGCAAAATACTGTGATCAATGGTATCGAAAGCCTTTCTCAAGTCTATAAAAGCACCAAGTGTGACAAAACCTTCATCAATTCTTTTTGAGATTTCAGCTGTGAGATCAGCTAGGGCGAGTTTAGTGCTATATTGCTTTCGGAACCCGTACTGATTTTCTGAAAGAATTTTTCAATTTGTCCATAAAGGCACACAACTGTTTATTGGCGAATGATTCGAACAGTTTGCTGAAGACAGGTAAAACGGAGATCGGCCTGTAGTTTCTAACTTCATAAGCACATCCTTTCATGAAAATGGGATTCACTCGTGTTTTTTTCAGTTTGTTAGGGAATACGCCTTTCGACAAGGAACAATTTATAATATAGGCGATTGGTTCGGCAATATATTCAGCAGCCACTTTCACGACTTTTGGGATTTACGAATGTCAAATTTGACATCGTGTGCACAGATAGGGCGAAAGGAAAATTACTCTGATTGTCTGTTGCCAAGGCAGTCATTGCAATTGGTGTTACAGGTAATCTCCGAAGCATGCTTTGGTCCAAATGTGCAAATCTGTAACAAATTCACCTGGTTTGGTGGTTGATTAAAATTTTTGAGGGG